AGCCCCCCCCCCCCCAGCCCCGATCTGAGCTGCCAGCCTACGGCCGTGCCACCCCGAATGTCCCGATCTCGTCTGCACTGCCTGCCCTTGGCTGAGCCGGGAAGCACAGGGCAGAACAAAGGTGAGGCTGGCGGCCCAGCCAGAGGACAGGAATGCTGGCCGCGCAGGGGCCCACCGCGCCAGTCACGGCTTTAAGCAGGTGTGTGCCAGCTGCGGGTGGGGGGTGCCCTCTTTCCAGGCGGTCACCCCACAAGCGTCCCCTTCCCGTCAGACCCACACCGGGGTGGTGAGGGGGCCTTCCCACTGGGGCAGCACTCAGGAGAAGACCAGCTTCTAGGGACAAGAGGGGCTCGCCCTCGTCCCTTGGAGGGGCTCGCCCAGCCTGACGGCACCACCCTGGCCCGGGGCGGTCCAGGCTGCCCCGGGACCTGCAGCAGCAGCCAGGCGAGGGTGAGGCCAGCGTTGGAGCCTTGCTCCAGGCGGCACGCAGAGAGGCAGGACAGGGCCCCGGGAGAGGCCGCGGGGCCGCAGCCAGCCTTCGTCCCGCCCCTCCCCCAGCTCCCCAAGGGAGATGGTCCCTCTACTCACGTTGTACACGCCTTCATGAGGGGCCTTCCTCCTCTGCAGGGGAGACAGCGGGGTCAGAGGTGGGAGGCCGGATCCAGTGCCCCCTCCCCACACCCTCTGTGGGCTCCCCCGCCAGCCTGGCCCCTCACAGGGCACTCGGCATTTCCTTGCCATGTGCACTGCACACAGGCTGCGCCTCCCACAGGCCTCCTGAGCCCAGCCTCGCCCAGGGCGGGCCTCGGGCTGTCTACTGATGGCCCGTCTGTCCCCTTGCCGATATACTGTCCTACGTGTCACAAGCTCACAAGTGGGATTTGGGGTTGAAGATGGAAGGTACCGAGTACCCCCACCTGGAGCAGGGCCAGCCCAGCCACGGCTCAGAAGTCCTGCTGGCCCTCCTAGTCGGGGGGAGAGAGAAAGGCTAAGGTTGGAGAACTTGGGGTGCGCCGTGGTCTCTCCTGCTCCCCACTCTGGCAACAGCACGCCCTGCACGGGGCCAGATGGGCAGGCGTGGCCATAAATATCAAGGGCCCCTGGCGGTGTCCGGCAGGACCGCCCTGAACCTGGGCAGCCAGGCCTCTGCTCTCGAGAGGACCCTGCTCTGGCCTGCCCGGCTGCCCGCACCCAGGGCGCAGAGCCTACAGCCAGGACAGAGCTGCCCCAGGCCGACCGTGCTCGTGGGGTCCCTGCGTGGACTGCTTCACCAGGTCGATGCCACTGTAAGTGCATCTCTGGGAGGCCATGGGACAGTTTGAAGGGAGGCGGGGGAGCCTGGAGGTGAGGGCCAGGGGCCGCCCCTCCCTCCGGAGGCCCTTGTGAGGCAGCGGGGTGGGGGGCTGCAGCGCACGTGCTGGCTCTGAGCCCTGCGCCCCATGCAGACACAGGAGAGCAGCTCACCTGCTTCCCTCCCATCTCGGGGTCTCGGCCCCGTCTCTTATCCAAAACGTCGTACTCCTCTCTGCGCCCCAGGTTGAGCTCCTGAAACAGACGGGAGCGTCAGGGCCGGAGCGACCCGGAGGGCCGGCTGGGCGGGCGGGGCGGCCCCCCTGGGTGGCGCTCTCAGGAGCAGGCTCTGCGGGGCGGGGAGCTGGTCCGTCGGATGCCAGCGCCTCAGAGGACGTGCGTCGCGGTGGGGCAGGTCCTCGATTTCTCCGGAGTCCACTACGCGGGGCGGCCCCGCCCAGCGAAGGGTCCGCCCCCAAGGTGAAGGCGGGGCTCCCGACAGGCGCTCCCCAGAGCGTGTCCCCAGAGCGCGTGGGCCTCACAGCGCCCCCACGGGGCCGATGCAATTACTGTTCCCGATTTAGGAGGTAGAACCCTGAGGCCAGGAGGCGCGGCCCAGACGTGCGAACCCCGAACGCGGGGCCGGCGCGCCTTGCGTCCCGCGCCTCCGCGGCCAAGGCCAACTTACGTTATAGAGCTGGTTCGCGCCCTGGCCCTGCAGGTGCGCGGGGGCGTCCGCGATGCGGCCGAACTGAAAGAGAGGGGACAGCGGAGCGTGAGCGCCCGCGGGGGTGGGGGTCGCCCTTTGCGGGACCCTTTCCTGAGCGTCACTGCCTTCCCCCCGGGGACACGTGCAGCCCGTGCTGGCCCCGGCGGGTCCCCCTGGGCAGCCTGGCCGGCTCCGGTCGGGGAGTATGTCCTCCAGGCCCTTCCTCCGGGGGAACTCAGTGGTGGCTGCACGAAGTCCCAACTCCTATCTGGACCTGTGGGGCAGATGCTCGCATGTGTCACTGTGTGGGCCTGGCTTCGTGTGCAGAGGACCTGCCCGAGGCACACAGAGCCCGCTGTTTCTTCAGTTCAGGCCGCCTCACCCAGAGAAACTGGGTGGCGCTCTCAGGAGGTCTTAGAGGTCAGAGTTTCGGGCACCCCCAGGGGCGTCCTTTGGGGTGGCATCGTTCGAATTTTGTAAAACAAAATCGT